CTCGCCTTCCACGTGTACGGGCAAAAGTTCGATCTTGCTGTTGGCGACCGTTCCACCGCTGTACCCCTGGCGTTTTTGCAATAGGCATTTCTCGTTCCAAGAATCTTTATGTGTACAAATGTTTACCACATGAAGTCGTTACACAATATTCTCAGACAGCTCAGAAGCTAGAATACGCCGATGTGGGCTCCCCAGATCAATCGCGTTGACGAGTGATTGCTGACGGCACAGATCGATTAAACTAACTGAGAGACAGAAGAAACAAAGGACCCGCATGGTGTGGTGGTGAACGCGTTACTCCCCGAAAAGAACAATAGCGCGTTCATTCCTCACCGCAGACATCTGCGGTCCGGAGTTTTGCAAATATCTCAGCAATCTAGTGGTTGTATTCCAACAGATTCACTTTGAAAATTCACGTCAGATCAAAAAGCATGCCGCTACCTTGTTTATTGGTGCGAATGACGGATTACTCGAACAATATGGAATTGTTAATTTACTAATTTACTAATTTACTGGCCCATATTTTCTTATTCTTTAAAAAAAAAGGTTATATTTTAAACTAAGAATCATATTAAACCACAAGTAAAGATTGAATCGTGCAGGGAGCAGAATCAAATCCTTCAAATTTTCAGAACAAATTATTTTCAGTGCTGTTTAGTCCGTTTGCTCTTCCTGAGTCATCGGCAATGAAGGCTTTTGTTCTGCAACAACTACGCTAGCAATTATCAAAATAGTTTCGTCCATTACGTCATAAATAGTTCACGGCTTTGGTGACGGAACTTGACCATCCTTTTAAAATGAGATCAGTAGTTTGTATCTCACCACGTTTGTAACTGTTCTACCCCATAGGTAGTTGTCATCCCACGTCGCTCCGTCGACTAATACATTCTCTTCCAAAAATACCTCATTCTTGGCGGATAAAATCACAGCACGACAGATCTCAAGCATCGTTTTTGATTGGTTCACTTAATGAATTCATAATATTATCCTCTCAATAGCTTTATGGTGATGTTTGCTTTCCCAGCCTGAATGGGGCAACAACAGCAAAGCCGGTTTCTATGAACTTTTGCTTCTGTCATATCAGCACGGATGTCCCCTGCAAGGTAAAACAACGGGAGCAAACGAAAAGGCGATTGCAAGTGACCATTAAATGTTCCATAAGATGTAGAAAATTGCTCTGTGCATTCCGTATACATTGATCATATTGTGCACAGGCATGGTAGGTGCTGGTGCATATGCAGAGTTTAGCAATGTCGATTAGGCAGACAGCATTCATAAATGCGTCGTTTTCTTTCTTAGCAATAGCGAGGTTGTTAAACACAGTACGTTTACTTCCATACAATAAACACATACAACACAATCGTAGCTGACGTTTCGGCAGTATCACCTTCTTCAGAGCCGTTTTTTTAAGTGCCTACCACTGAGGAAGAGCCGCTGATAGACAGCATTTAATAAAACGGCTAGAAATTATATAAGGGCTTTTCGCAGTTGTCTCCAACAAGTAACAACATATCTATTTTGGTAGAACTCGAGAAGCGACCCATGCCTTACGCCTATCTTGCCACAGCAGAGTGCGATGACGTGCCTATTGCACGTTTTCTCATCAAAAACAGTAAAAATAAAGAGCATTTTGTTCAATAATAGAAACACATTCCGCTTCTCTTGGTGCATAAAAACCTACAAGACCGTTAAGAAGTGAGATAGCTACCAAATCGGTTGGCTCCTGGTCAAGCCACGAGATCAAAAATGGGATCAAAGCCGATATAGATAGCAGCTAGGAATCACAATATATTCGAATGCCACTTTCGAAAGATTTGTCGATGTGGAGTTCGATATCAATACATTCTTGTATTCATGAACTCATACAAGGTTGTTATAAAAAATAAAACGTTGCTGTGGTTAATGTCTGGGCGCCATTGCATCTTCCAGAGGCGCGAACATTCGAGTCAATTGTCCACAGTCGTTCATTCTTGCGATCTGAGTTCTCGTAATCGCGAAATGAATTCAGAAATCACTAGAACGACGTCTTCTAAAGTTTAAGCGGGACTCACAACGTCTAGTCCGAATGCGCACCTCAGATCTTCGCAACCTATCTTATCCTCGGAATCCAGGAGAATACAAAACCATGGCGAAGCATAGATGAGCCGGTTATATAATTAGAGAAACAGATGGCAGATAACGAAGAGGAGTATGAAGTACACTCCAACAGCACGTAAAGGCCCTCTGGTACGACCACCTACACCACGAGCTACTTGTCTGTAAGTAAAATCTCAACTGTATTCGCAGCTGAAAACGCTCTGCACACCATGTTATGATACTCCCAGGCGTCACGATGCCCAAGGCAGACTCCCACCATGAAAATGAGTGTGCAAAAAAAAGACGAATAGAAAGTATGCTGGTGCCTCCACTGCTCGTCAAACCTGTACATCCAAGTATCCAGGTACTTTCATCCTCGTCATGTATTGGATATACCTAATCTGTTCGTGAATTCGAAGGACACAAACAGCCCTACAGCATAAGTATATTAAGGTGGCCCTTTATCCTCGAAGTTCTTCGACAGTGCGATGACCCGCAGCTAGCCGTGATCTACTTGATACTTACTTACTTGATACTTGAATGGCCCGTCCTCACTGGATGTGCGGGCTCCAGCATTATCTCCATTTTTCGGAGATTTGCTGGTTAATCCATTTTGGTTCCCTGGAATCCCGAGGTCAGCCGGGCCAAAGTCTGCTCCAGGTCTTCACCACCACAGACAGTCGCAGCCCTTGTGCATCAGAAGGAGATTTACCACCATGCGACTTTGAAACCAAGATGATGGTGGATCCTGGTATCGGTTTACTCTTAGCTAGGCTTCCTGATGAAAACGCCGGACTCATTCCCAGCTTGTGAGACCCTGCCACGGAATGAATCCCCGCTGTACATCGCAGTCCGGCACCCAGGAACACGTTCCACCCACGATGAGGCGGTAGACCGTTGGGAGGTAACTGCTTGACAGACAGCACATAAATCGAAAAGTGGCTGAGCTTCCGGATAAAACGCTATCGCACCTTGGAGCTATACACGGTAATATCGTCAGGAGTGGGGGTGCTCGTGAAATGTGCGCCTATTTCCCGCGCTTTTTGGTTTGAATTGCTTTCTAGGTATCCGGAATGAGTGGGCAGTCAGAGTATTGACTAATCGCGTGTGCATCATAGAAGCAGAGCGAGCAGAGATGCAGCGGATGGCGCCAGACGGGCGTCTTTCGTCGTCACCTACTCCGGATACTAACGCGTTGTTTAAAATCACTAACTAACAAAATGGTGAGTTTTCTCTGAAGTTCATGCCCATGTTATAAGGTGTTCATGTAAATGGAATTGTGAATTTGTGATTGCCTATTCGTTAAACTTGTTAGCTGACAATTGGTGTGCTAAGTTCTTACGAAAAGCTGGTCACACCATGTCAGTGCATTCATGTCTGTGACCGAATTGACAGGATTTCGGTTCTGACCTGTGAACCCATATGAATTTCTTAGCGTGAAGTAATCTCGATCCATGTCGGACAAGCAGGAGTTCAAATTGGAAACGCCTGTTGGGAGCTGTATTGTCTGGAACATGGAATACAGCCTGATGGCCGTATGCCTTCTGACAAGCAAACACAGGTACGTGCCTAAATGAGACATTTCCTTATGCGAGCTGTAGTTGTACTCCTTTAGGACGATACCTCGTTTTCCACGTTCTTTTCCGAGACTGGTGCTGGTCGTCATGTACCAAGAGCCGTTATGGTTGACCTTGAGCCTACTGTTATTGGTTGGTGGCCAGTAATTGCTTGAAGGCTTCCTGTATAAACATAGATTGGTTACTGTTCCCAGATTTCCGGAATTGACCTTTCGATTCCGTTCTTGTTTTTTTCTGTTAATTTTTTCGTTGTTAACTTGGGTTCTTTAATCTCCAGAACTCATTTCCCCCGTGTATGCTTTTTTTTATACAAAGGTGAAATTCGCAGGAATATATCACTGCTTGGGGCGCGTGTGGTGAAGCGGTTGCAGGCTCCTTGCAACACACATGAGATCGATTCCCACGCTTCAGGCCAACATTGGTACCAGACTTGTCTGGGAGGATAGCAGCACTAGTACGATACATAGGTAGGCCACCGCGGGTAATTGTAAAAGCCAGATATGTATTCAATCACCTCCAAACAATGCTTAATGAAGTCGAATGCATGGCGCATCCCAAAAGGATTGTTCACTGCCGGGTGCTTTATTTGTCCTTTATACCACTGCTAATCACTAGTTTACCCGTTTTGTTATTCGTGGGTAGAGATTTTTTCATTTTATTTATGAAGAATGGTTTTCAGATGAAATCCGTACTGGAACATATAAGCAGCTTTTTCATCCTGAGCAGTTGATAACAGGAAAAGAAGATGCAGCAAATAATTACGCTAGAGGCCACTACACAATCGGCAAAGAAATCATTGACTTGGTTCTGGATAGAGTTCGTCGCTTGGCAGACAACTGTTCAGGCTTGCAGGGATTTCTGATTTTTCACTCTTTTGGTGGAGGAACTGGATCCGGTTTCACTTCTCTACTTATGGAGCGTCTTTCTGTTGATTATGGGAAAAAGAGTAAACTAGAATTTTCTATCTATCCAGCCCCTCAGGTATGTAATGTTGATTGTTTATTATTTGGTTGTTTATCTTTGTCATTATTGATCCTTAGGTGTCAACTGCCGTAGTAGAACCTTATAACTCGATCCTGACCACACACACAACATTGGAGCACTCTGATTGCGCTTTCATGGTTGACAATGAGGCCATTTATGATATCTGCCGTCGTAACTTAGATGTGGAACGGCCAAGCTACACTAACCTCAATCGCCTTATCTCGCAGGTTGGTCGTGTTGTGACTCTGCTTCGGTCATCTTTCATTGTGATGTAGTGATTATAGGTGGTCTCCTCCATCACGGCGTCATTGAGGTTCGATGGGGCCTTAAATGTGGATCTTACGGAGTTTCAGACTAATCTCGTTCCATATCCTCGAATTCACTTTCCATTAGCGACTTACTCACCAGTTATATCTGCTGAAAAGGTTCTTGTAACCTTGTCCTTATTGTGTAGAATAACTTGGTATTGCAAGTAACGGTTTTCAGGCATACCATGAAGCCCTCTCGGTTAGTGATATCACAAACATGTGTTTTGAACCTGCCAATCAAATGGTTAAGTGCGATCCTCGGCATGGAAAATACATGGCTGTCTGTTTATTATATAGGTTTGTATAGCCTGTCGTAATGACTGGAATCTCCGTATACTCAGTACTGTAAACTAATTTAAGGGGAGACGTTGTACCCAAGGATGTGAACGCTTCAATTGCTGCTATTAAAACTAAGCGGTCAATCCAATTCGTCGATTGGTGTCCAACTGGATTTAAGGTCGCAGTGTAATGGATGTATATCTCGTGAAGATATTCGGACTCGGATTTGAAAGTAACCACATGAGCGACTGATGACAAAGTGCCGTTTAGGTGGGAATCAACTACCAACCACCAACTGTTGTACCTGGTGGAGACCTGGCTAAGGTACCACGTGCAGTTTGCATGCTTTCCAACACCACAGCAATAGCTGAGGCTTGGGCACGCCTAGACCGGAAATTCGATCTAATGTATGCTAAGCGAGCTTTCGTTCACTGGTATGTCGGAGAAGGTTGGTGCTACTAAGGTTTAGTAGAGTTAACGTCACTGTTCGCGAATGCTTGATCTTTTCATTTTTTATTTCTTAGATATCACAGTTTGTTCCTTCACTTCGTATTCAATTAATCTTTTCCCGTTCCGTATTTGGCTCTGCTTTTTGGAAATTTGGCTTCCTTGTATGGGCATGCACAACAATGTACATTATTTTAGGCATGGAGGAAGGTGAATTCAGCGAAGCTCGAGAAGACCTAGCTGCTCTTGAGAAGGATTACGAAGAAGTTGGCATCGATTCCGTCGAAGGAGATGGGGGAGAGGATGGAGAAGAATATTGATCGACCGCAACCCTATCGTTAGTTACCATTAAATGTCGTTTAGATCTTGGTAGACCGTTATTCATGAGGTCGAAAACAGCCGTACACCAGTTTCTGCTATAGTGTCTTGTTTTCGCACTTGATATTTTAAGCGTTTTATGTTGTTAACATAGTTTGCATTCCTGTACCCCGAGTAAATAATTCTCTCGATTTTGTTAGCGTCCCAATAAACAGGTTATTTTTAGCCCTTAGACTTCGACGTTGGTTTTCCTACAGTTGCTCATACGTTTTCACTAACTAAAAAATTTGTAGTGTGCAGAACAAAATAGGCTCATCGGAGAAACTTTGCGCTACCTCGCAAAGGGTAAATATGTTCTGTTAAAGATTTTGCTTTTGCTGTGTTTTAAACCGAAATTCACCAAATATTGGCACAGTAGTTTAAATGTCTGATTTTTTCGGCTTATACTCAATTAGAGCATCGGTAATACAGCGGGGGTATTGTCGAGTCGTTTTGGACAACATCCCCTTTAACTAGTCTAGTTGCTAGACAAACGAGTCATGTAGGTCTGAAGCATCAGTTTATCTCCAAATATTTCCGGCTTGATTGTTGCTTTATTTGAGTTTTGCACAAATTGTGACAAAGGGTTTAATAACACGGCAATTTGCCATTTATGAAGTTGCTATGTCTATGTCCTCCCAACGGTTTACCGCCTCATCGTGAGTGGGAGGTGTTCCTCAGTGTCGGGCTGCGATGTACGCAGTAGCGGATTCATCTCCTGGCAGAGTCTCCCAAGTGAGAACGAGTTCGGCGTTTCCATAAGGAAGCTCAGCTAAAAGTAAACCAATAGCAAGATTGGCCACCTTCCTGGTACTAAACTGTTTGCATGGTGGCAAATCTCCCTCTGATCCACAGGGCTGGCGACTGCCTGTGGTAGTGACGACCTTGGGCAGACTTTGGCCAGGCTGTTCTCAGGACTCCAGGGAATCACAATAGCTAAGCTGGCAAAACTCCGAAAACGTAAAGGTTATGCTGGTATCCGCGCAACCAGTGAGGACGGGCCATCAAAGTAAGTGTATCTTTGGTATGCGTTTGAAAATTCAGGTTTGCGCTACTAAGTAGTTGTATGAATTGAAGAGAGTCATGAAATAGCATTTGCTACACGATAAGGATCGACAGTCCTACAGTGAGCTGCATGAATAAGAATATTAGTGGTTTTCGCTAGAGGAGTTCGCTGGTCGCTTATTGCTTATCCTGCAAAGATTTGCTTCAAGATTGCAGAACTAGATGGCATACTTGAGTAGTCAGTCGTTTATATTTATGTAATAGAATATGTATGAAATAATGAGGATAGCAAATGTACACCAGTTATATGATGAACTTCAAAGAGTTCCATTATGTCAATGACACAACATGGTGAGTGTCGATCATATTTTTTTATATATTTATTTGTTTGTATGACCTGATCTCAATTGTTCCACTGAACCCGCAGCTTCTTTCCGTCGGTTTATAGTCTGGTACTCGTTTTCCAAGAAAATTTGTGGGCATGTATATCAGTTCGCCTACCACTTAAGGATTTTGTCCCTTTGAGTGTATTCGGATTCCTATCGAAGTGATTGTCTCTGGAATCCCACTATAGCTCTGCTAGAGCTTACCGAAGTTTGTACCACAGGCAGTCATTGGCATTTGTAAATCGTGGAGATTTTTCAGACGGGTCTTCTATCACTTAACAAAATTGTCCATCTTGCTTGATGGTATTGGCTGGTTAGAGCCCTCCAAAATCTTACCCATTACCGTGTTTATTTACTCAAATTGGGGTTGAGATAGGTGGTAAGTTTGCTGTAGATGCGAAGGATGATGTTGGTGACTCTAGTATTCAATCGTTTTTCGATTTTCCACTGAGCTGTGAGGACAGCATGATGTGATGTCCTGCTGCCTTGTTAAGCAAACTAAGTGAGCTAAGTTTTTGCAACTCATTCAAATCTTCCAAATACTTCTCATTAATGAGGTCTTTAGAACGAGGTTTTCTGCTGCACTGTCGCCTGTCAGCTCTACTTCAAGGGTCTCACGTCGTTTATATTTTTCATAAGGAAATCCTATTCTAGTTTTTAGAGTACTTTCTGCTGTATAGAAGACAGGAGAGTTTTAGGGGAAATAAAACAAAGAAGAAACAATAAAGACTAGAAAGACAATCTCACGTCAACTGATCTATATATACTTTTTACACAGTATCCTTTCAAATCCACAAATGCTTAAAGTGAGAACATTGGAAAAAATTGGCAATAAAATTCAACTTTTTAAAATTTCTAGCCGAAAAGCAGCAACTGAAGCATAAAAGAGAGGAACTCGGTTGTTTCTTTCCGAATGAAACCGTGCTTGCTTGATTTCTTTCATCTGTGGAATGCGAGCCTTGGAAGAGGTGGCAATTTTATTATGGTAAAGTAAGAGAACTTGTATCTTGTAGGTAATGATTCGTGGATTCTAGTATTCTTTGTTGCAATTAATAAAGTTCGACAAGTTGATTTATGTTGGTTTAAAATTAAAAATGGCCATTTTTTTGTGTCCTTTATCCCCTATAGGGCACGTGTAGCGCAGTGATTAGAAGTGCCCTACGATACACACGCCCTTGGTTCGATCTCGGGGCACGGGTTTATTAAGCCTTCCATCCTTCCGGGGTCTACAGATTAGTGCTAGACTTGTCTAGGAGAATAGCAGCGCTGATTTGATACATCGGTAGACCACCGCAAGTTAGTATATAGGCTAGATATACATTCGTTCACCTCTGACGATGCTTAGAGATGTCGAATGCATGATGCATCTTTTAGGGACTGTTCGACGCTGAACACTGCGCTTTCATAACTCCTACAGAAGTCACATCTTCGTGTAAGTGAAATCTTGGCGCATATATTCGTAGACTTGCGCCATTGACTTCATTATATCGAACATCCAGAGCATTGAATTAATCAAATAGTCCAATAGAGAATGCATTTTGTTTTAACCTGCCACCCTGGCCTTCTGCTCTCGCCACGGTAAAGCTCTCAAGCTAAGGTAATAAACGTTTATATAGATAGGAAATCAGCGTGTAGATAAATATATGTATAAATAATAATGTGGACAAATATAGATAGGTTGCATTATGTATTATTTGTATTTATTTACATTATTGATTAGGAGTCGAAGACAACATGCTGTATCAGACATGCATGGTGAAAATGTGCTAGCATGATATGTGGTATTGGTGCAATGAAAGCACAACTGTGACTTATCCTGACAGTGGTCTACATCGGGTACAGCATAATTATGTGTATCAACTTTTCTTTAAGAATACCATTCACGGTTTTCTGAAATAAGACTGAACCGAGATGCATTGATTTGAAGACGGTATATTGGACACAGACTAGAAATTACTAAAATTACGATAGCTAATGATTTTAGCGGTGGCAATAACTTCTGGAGCGATAGAGGAGGAGTAAAAACGTTGAATATGCTCTTCTTTCCAACAAACTCGCAATGGCTTGGAATTCTTCTAATGTAGTCAAAATTACCTCTATTGGGTGCAACATGCATGTCTAAAACGATGACTTCATTTATTAGGATGAGAAATAAGTTCTTTCCCGTTCCTTCCCGCTGTTTGCTCAGAATCCATTGTTTTCGAGTTCTAGGCAGTCCACGTCTTGTCGGAGTGTTCCGAAAAGCTACATTAAACATCTGAGCTTGTTTTTTTTTCAAGCGAAAAAAATTGGTGACACCTTCCATTAAGATTGTTGATCATCAGGATTTCTATGTTTTATCGTTGTTCATTTCATTCCATCAGCCTTATTGTTTTGATGTTTTTCTTACTACGCTTGGGTTCTTTCTACGAAAGATTGGCGCACTGAATGAGTTATGTATTTCTGAAGTATTACAGTACTCGTTTTGGGTACGTAAACAAGCAATTGTTCTATCGCAATAAGCAAGCAACTTGGTAGTTCAGTCAGTGTCGTTTAGTGATTGGTGAGAAGAGTATTGAATATGTTTTGGTAAAATACGATTCATGACATCTTAAATAAGGCATAAACGCTAATCTCAGGTGAAGATAGTTGACTTGAGGAGGAAACACGGTTCGAATTCGAGCTAGAGGACCATACCTTGATTTTCATAGGATAGGATAGTTCGTCCAGCAACGGCAGATCTCCCACCACTCCCATCACAAGACTGAATCTTCACAACAACCATATCTTGTTATCCCGCTACGGGTTTTCATAAAATTTCTCATTTGTTTAAGAATTAAATTATAAATTTTCCATCTTCAGCCGTTGCAATGTCACATTGACAAGCCTTGACCTAGAATTTAAAACGTTAAGAAGGCAACTTGACGAAATTATGGCAAAAAAATTGGCACAGTGAGAAAAGTACATGGCCATATTAATATTTATATGGAATCCGACTTGAGTTAAATTCTACTCATGCGAGTGAATGGGTAGATCAACTGACGTGCATTTATGTAAACTCCCTTCTAAACTCTTCTTCCTTCTTGTTCACTTTGCGCACAAAAATTCTTTGAAGTATTGTGTTTTATGGATATCCTACATAACACAGAAGTTGCACTAGTTGTCGGTCGGCCTTAAAGCTTCTTTTCCACGCTATACAATTTTTAAAAAACCGCTATTCGACCGAGTTTGCTCGTCAAGCAAGAGAGTATGTTGTGGCATGGAAATAGCGAGAGTATCATAGCTGGGAAGGTGAATTTCAATGTCAATTTCCTGTTGTAACAACAAGTTCACGTAGAGCAGCAGTGAGAGATTCCCTGAATTTAACGTGGTCTTATCATTCGTGGCATAGGGCTCGGTCACGCACCTAGAGCTAATCCACCAGTCGCATTATGCTTCCCATTTCGGCTAATTGGTGCCAGATTGAAATACAAACAGTACAATCGTAAAACTATATGGTTTTTAAATTGAATAGCACTTTTAACACAAAGGTATGTGCTTTTAACTTCTTCTACACCTTTCGATAAGTTTGAGAATATAGTGCAATTCGAACA